TATCTATCTATCTATCTATCTATCTATCTATCTATCTATCTATCTATATATGTATCTATCTATCTATCGACCTATTTATCGATCTATCTATCGACCTATCTACCTGCCTGCTTGTCTGCCTGTCTGTCTGTCTTTCTGTCTGCCCACAGTACTTGCGTTCGACTGTCAGTCAGTCAGTCAGTCTGTCTGTCTGTCTGTCTGTCTGTCTGTCTGTCTGTCTGTCTGTCTGTCTGTTCGCCGATCCGTCCGTTTACTCGTTGTCCTTCCTTCCATCTATCCGCCATTGTATTTGTCTGCCTGTTCGTCTGTCCGTCTGAAAGCCCATTTTCTTTTCTTTCATTAGTCAGTCAATCTTTCTTCCTGTCTGTCTGTCCATCTGCCCGTCCGTCCGTTTGTCCGTCGGTTAGTTTTTGCCCATATGTATCTATCTATCTATCTATCTATCTATCTATCTATCTATCTATCTATCTATCTATCTGTCTGTTTTTGCCCATACGTCCATCTGTCTGTCTGTATGTCCCTCTGTCTATCTGTCTGTCAATTCATCTGCCTGTCCGTCAGTCTGTCCGTCCGTCAGTCCATCAGTCTATCAGTCTGTCTGTCTGTCTGTCTGTCTGTCCATCCATCAGCCTATCTGTCTGTCTGTCTGTCTGTCGGTTTGTCTGTCTGCCCACCTCTCCCTGACAACCATAATGACGTACGCCGTCACTTATCGCCCACGCCCTGTGTTCCTCGTCCTTCAGGCAGAGAGGTCAATACGAACAGCGGGGGCCTAATTCAAACCGTGTCACACACACACACACGCGCACACACATACACACACACACACACACACACACACACACACACACACACACACACACACAAGCGCCAGAGTCCGACTGGACATTCAGCCTTCACGTCGCAAAAGACCCTTTTGTTACGAACTTACTCTGATCGAAATAACCTGGAAAGAACACAAAGAGGAACGTTCCTTTAGAGGAACGTTCCTTTGAGGAAAAGACCCTAACGGCAAAAAAGCGAAGTTCGATAAAATCGAAGCGCGTGCGTCCATGCAAACCATCATTGTTAGCTCGAGGAAGGAAACATCGGAGGGCAATCGATAAGGAATCACGACAGAAGGCCAGTAATTTTGACGAGGGAAAAAATCCAGATACCCTCGTCAATTCCTGGCCGGGTCGATGTTCCTCACATTGTGGGCTTGCAATTAGGGCTGGGCAATGAGTCGCTTTAACAAAATTCGGATAATATGTAAGTGCCCCTCTTCGGCAAATAATATGTTATGAACTGCTTCGGCAAATGGGTTAGAACCACTTCGACAAACGGATTAGAACCACTTCAATAAATGAGCCACTTGGACCCACGGGTCAGGAAAGAGAGTTTAAGAGTCTGAATTCCGATAATGTTTCATTGAGAATTATCCGGTTGTCCGGATAGGTTATCCGGATTTTGCTCACTACTTCTAGCAATCTGTCAGTTCTGCCTTTGTTTGACCCAAGCCATCAGCACAAACAGAACTCTCTTCCCTTCGCCAGAACCGAGACATGAACATTCCATTCCCAATTTCATGTGTCAGAGGCTTGCTGTAAGCTCAGTTGGTATCACGCTGGGCTTAAATGAGGCGATGATCGTTTTTCGAAACCCACAATAGGGGTATTTTTGGCTTAACTTTTTGTAAGAGATTTACGGCACATGCAAAACAAATAGATCGTGTAAGTGCAGAATAATAGAGGAGTCAACAGGGAGTAAAATACAAAGAAAAAAGGAAGAAAAATAAGGACGATAGACGGTAAAAATAAATAAATTAGTAAGTGTTTTACGGCACTTGCAACACAATAAAATCATATAAGTGCCGAAGGTTAGAGGTGTTACAAGAGAGTAACAAACACAAAAAAGAGGGAGAAAGAAGAAGTAAACCACACCAGAGCACCCGCCAACCACTCACGAAATTAATCTACAATTACCAAGAGAAAAAGAAACACCAACAAACTTTCCCCATTCTTTTAGACGTAGCGCCGTAGATGAGATGTCATTTTGGGGCTCTCGTGGCTTAGAGGTTAAGGTGTTGGCCTCTCATTCAAAAGGTCCCGGGTTCGAATCAGGGTAGCGACCGAAAATTGTTCTTATCTAAAACTGTCTCCTTTCACCT